TGTCCCCAAGCAGCTTCATTTTGAATAGAATCCACCAGCTAACTGGGAGAATGAGGACATCATTGTCTGAATTATCAGATACCAACGGAGTATTCTGACTAGTGTTTTAAATGAAACACTAGTGGTTTCTGTAAAAGTCTGCTGCCTGGGGCAGGGGAGAAAATTCTGGGCTTCTCCTAAGGATGGAAAGGGACAGAAGCAGCCACCTTCACAAAGCTGGTGGCATGGCAGAAAACTGTCAAGCTACCACTTTTGGTTTGCATGAAGAGTCTTGCTAGAGACCCACAGATCAAACTTGAGAAATGAACAGATAAAAGTGGGGACCGTGACTGACAAAGCAGGAGAGTATTGTTAAGTGTTTTCCCATGTTGCTATTGATTCATTTTTTTTTCTTCTTTAGGGGGGAGGAGAAACCGCCCCTGCTTAAGTTTTCCTAGATAGCAAACTTTTCTCCACTGTTTCTCCCCATTAAGTCTCACTGCCGACTTCTTATGTAGAATGCTCAAATATCTTTTTTTCAAGTTGAGCACAATGGACTCTCTGTGGAGAAATTATTGTATGAACCCCACTCTCAGAGAATCGGTTCAGTTTCTCTGTTTTATCAGTTTAGGGCACAAAGTTTTCCATGTCCTAGAAGGAAATCACCTGTAGAGTTCAGCTGGTCAATTTCTCGGGTTTCCCACATTTTGACAGGATTGATTTCAAGTCTTAGTAGCTTCTTAGTGCCAGAGGAGGGTAGTGTGTGAAGTGAGAGAGGCACACAGGTATCAGACGTGAGGTGTGGTGTTTGTCTCTTGGGGACACCCATGAGGGATGTACTTAAGTATATCTTATGTACACTGTATGTGAGATGTACACTGTATGCAAGAAATGTACTTATGTACACTAGATAAGGTATAAGGGCTAACCAGAAAGCCAGGGGAGGGTGGGCTGTTGTCTTGGATGAAGACAGTCTCACGTCTATCCTCCTTTCTTTGGAAACACAGAAAAGGAGTTCTAGGATTGCAATGAAGATGTATACATGGGGAAAGGCTGATGATATGTGTAACACTTGCCACATTGTCCCCTAATATGGCCAGCATCTCCCTTGTCCTGAGACAAAATAGTTTCAGGAACCCTGCTTTGGTTCCCCTTTCCCAGGCAGCTGCCCTCACTGACCTGAATTCCTAATTCTCCTCCCCCACCAGGTGATATTACAAGCATTGACTCCTTAAACTCACCAAGTGTTGAAGACACAGGCAAAAGTGTGACTCCCAGACGGGAGACTCTGGCACCACCAACACCCTTACTTAGAATATTCTATAGTGACTTCTGGAAGGGTTGGCTAGGTAAGAAGTGGCGAGGTTGCCTAAATACATCAAATTAGTTATGGTCAGGAGTCTGGGAAGCCAGGCTACAGCTCCAGCATCACACTAAGTATCTTGTGGAACAGCACTTCCCAAGCAGGTGAGAGTTAGAGCACTGCTCACCCTTACTTGTTCAGATGTGCGGGTGGGGGCCCCCCCAGAAAACCACGCATAATTCTTTCTATTTTTATCCCAGGGTTATTGAAATACTTATAGGGATAGTTTGACTGAGGAAGAAGATGAAGCATTTGATAACTAAACCAAGCAAAAGCTCCTGGGATGTTGACCATAGAGTAATCCTAAAAGCCTTTTCCCCTTCCTTCTCTGCCCCACAAAGTATTTCTCTTCCTCAAGCCCACTTCATCCAAAGAGTAAAGTGTAAACAGGGCCCTTTATTTGAGGACTGCTTCTCAAGAGAGTGTAGTATGTAGCCTCACAGATCCAGAACTTTCTCACCACCGCGCTCCTTTTGGTGAGGGCTGGGCACAGATGCAGGCGTGAGATGCAGGCTCAAGGTGTCTACGGATGCTACTTCTACCTGAGGCCTCCTGGAGTGCTAGGGGCTTTGGAGATGCTTGTTCTCTGCTTCCGGCCCTGCAGGAGTTAAAGCCCCAGACAGACAAAAGCGAGGCCGCGGTGGCTCCTTTTTCTCGGCTGTCAGCTGCAAATAGAACCGCTGCCCTCTGGACTTTAACTCCCGACAGAAAGGGCATTTTATTACAGGCTATGACAAGCTGCAGGGAGACCGCGGAGAACTCAGTAAGAAGTAGCGACGACGAGTGGAATCAAAAAACCGTTCGGACTGTTTGGAAGACTGAGCGAAGATGGCTCCAAATGATAGGTGTGAGCGAGACTCAGGGTCGCAGCTGCGGGCTGGGGGGGGTGGGAGCCGCGCGGAGACACTGCCCGCCTCGGAGGATCAGAACGCATCTTCCGCCTTCGATGGCCTTGCAACCGATACCCAAAGCTCATGGCCTATAGCACCCCCTCTGTAGCCGCGGCTGCAGCTGATTGTCCCACAAAAAGCTGGTCCTATACCCTCCCCAAATTTGCAACTTTGTGTGTTTTTCATTCTCAGGAGGGAAATAGAGGCTTCGCTCTCCCGGGCTGTGTTTTTTCCTGGTCCTCTAAGGGAAATTATCTTTCTACGGTCCACATCTAGACGTGTGAAAACCTGTATTAGACTTTATTCGAGTTATCTTCCCACCCCTTCTGAGTTTTCCTCTTTTCTGAAGAGAGAGAGAGAGAGAGAGAGAGAGAGAGAGAGAGAGAGAGAGAGAGAGAGAGAGAGAGAGAGAGAGAGAGAGAGAGAGAGTGTTTTTCATTCTGGGCTTGCTGCTTAGTAAAGAGGCCGCAGTCTTAGCTGTCTCAGGTCTTTCAAGGTACTGATTTCTCAGGGCTGCGGAGTGTGTCCTTCCCCCTGCCCTCCCCGCTCCGAGTAGTTCTGTAAATGCTTTAAATCATCTGTATCCAGTAAAAACCTGCAGCACTTAATCTGCTTAAAGCGCGCCATGGAGTAGGAGCCCACTCCCGCCCCCTAAAACATAAGCACCCCAGCTGGATGTGGACCTTGTAGGATTCAAGTTGGTGTGAGGATGGCAGCTCAGTTGGAGAAGGCTGGAGAAGGCTCAAGGGACTTCTGAGGAACTCTGTACTACAAAAGGTGAAATGTGCTTATCCCAACTACAGCCCCAGAATCCCTTCCAAGAGAGTCAGAGTTGGCGGTTGCCAAAGCTAGCCCCCACACCAAGCTCGTTTGCTTGAAGGGTCCAGCTCGACTCAAGCCCCAAATTAGAAAGATTTTTGACAGTCTAACTCAGGGCACTGTGCGAATGGTTAAAAAGAACCTGCAGTTCCCCTTTCCCAAAACCTATGCTAGTGAAGTGTGAGCAATCTTGTCTAATTCCATATCCAAGTCAGAGAGAGTGGATACATTATAAATTCATAGCTTATGGCACACATGTTTCCCGCGTCCTGTGTCCTGCCTGGTAAAGCAGAACAAAACAAAACAAAGCAAAACATAGCTGGAAGCTTTTGGGTTCTTGTTTAACTGGAGAAACTGTAAAAACAACAACAAAAAACTCCAATGTTTTAAAAGATTGTGGCTCCACACAGACGATCCTGGACCCATTTTGCCAGGTCCCCTCCACTACATGACAAAGCAGAGCTTTCTAAGTCAGTTTTCTCATCCCACTCACACTTTTATGTCCCCCTTTCTTTCTTTTCAGAACCATCTCTTCTTTTTCTGTCAGAGTGTGTCTGATTTTGGTAAATACTAATTATTCGTTCTCTCTCGAACCCTGTTACATCCCCTAACCACCTGCACCAGAGTATAAGCAGACCCCATCTCTAGTGTCTAACAAAAGTCAAAGAAAGTTCATGTGTTTAGAACCGAGTCTGAAACAATGCCCTGGGTCCCCATTGTGTGCTGAATCACAGCTACAAAAAATGGATATTAAAATTAAATAGCCTCAAAACTAAGAGCATGGGAGGGGGGGACTTCACAAGACAAGGATTTTTACTAACAATGAAGTTGTAAGAGGAATGTGATGAGGGCTACTGCTTCTGTCATGATGAACCACTAGCAATAATTGGACCATGAAGAAAAAACTCTTGTTTCTCTCCTCTTGAATTATTTTGTTAGAAATCTTTTAGAACTAAACAAATGCAAAAAAATTGTTCTCCAAAATGCTATCTGCTTACTACTGATGGGGAGAGCGTTGTGGATTGATGTGGTTCTTTTCACTTAAAAAGTAGCCCATGAAATAAATTTTAAAAACCTGTTAAAAAGTTCCTTCACTGTTTTGACATTGAAACGGTTGGGAGAGAGACTTTGTAAACGAAATTGCTTCCTTGGCATGGTCTATGTAAATGTGTATCCTTAAATATCTGAGAAGATAATAGGGGCCTTGGAGGAATATGAGCCAGCTTGGGGATTGTACTCTCTGACCCTGTGTGCATCTAGGAAAAGTAAAAGCAAAACTTAACATTCATCCCTGTGTTTTTCCCCCTCTCTCCTTCAATCTGGAATTTTGTTCTAATTTATACTCCAGGATATAACTGTAGTCCTTGATCTTTCATTTTCTTATCTGTGTCTATGGACCATGTCCTTCTCTTCTTCTGGAAAGGGCAAATTTTTGAAAGAGAGAGGCGCACTTCTTGAATTCCCCCCCCCCCAGATCCTTCTTGAAAGAAAATGAATGGGGAGGGGAGGATTTGAGGCAAAGGCAGTGGAAGCTACGGCTCTGAAAAACAAGTCGTACTGCAGAGAAAGGTCACCTACAGACAGTCGAAGGAAGAAATGTCATGGTAAGTGAAATTGCTCTGGCTTAGGTGGTCTTATTGTAGGAAGAAGATGGGCAGGAATAGCGTTTGGGAATTGCATGATGGAGGCAAAAAGTGGGAGCAATCAATGAGAATGGGATCCCAGGGTACCTCTTCCAGTTCCAACTTTTGCAAACACTTCAAGTATCTTGCTGAAGTTCTGGAAAATGACCAGCAAGGGAACACCATTTGCTCTAGGAACGCTGTAGGTTGTTTCACCTCCATTGGTAAAACAGTTGGGGGGCATTTGTTGCTTTCAGGTTTCCTCCCTTCTAAGACTCCGAATAACAAACTCAAGTGGTTGCCCTCACTCTTGTCTATCTTCCTTAGCAAACTTGACATCGTGGAAGAAACATGGATTACTAAAGAGCAGCTGGCTGACTTTTAACCCTGAGTGCATTGGTAGACCCCATTACCTGTGCATTTATACCGGGAATGTGATATACAAGAATTACAGGGTATGCAAGTCACCAAGAGGAGATGAGCAAGCAGAGGTAAGAGGTTGTAAAAATATCAGGGAAAGCAGGATGTATATCTTACCATTTTCAACACTCAAATGGATTAGTAATACATTTCAGAAAATTAACTGCTCTTTTAAGAAGGAGGTCAGTTTCTAAGTCCAAGGAGAAAGAGATGAATTTGAAGAAAGTGCAGCATCTTCATGCTGACTCTCAGACACTCAGAATTTCTAAGGGTTAAAAAAAAAACCAGTCTGTTTACTTAAACAAATTCTTAGCTTCAGGAACAAAAGCCATATCAAGACTTTTCCTATCTTCTTTCCTTTTGAATACAACTTCTACCTTTATGCAGTTGCAAGCACTTCTCAAATGGTGAGAAACTTTGTTGCCATGGGGGTCCACAGATGTTTTCTAAGTTAGAACTTTGTAAAACCATAGAGAACTCAGAGAGTATTTAATTTGCGCTGCTAATAAAATGATAAAAATAAGCAGTGGAAATCATTCAGGCTTTCAGACAAAAGTGTGTGTGTGTGTGTGTGTGTGTGTGTGTGTGTGTGTGCGCGCGTGTCTGCTTGTGTGCATGTGTGTTGTACACCAATCAAGCCACTATTATCCTGTAGGTTTGTATTTCTGGGCAGCTATTGATGGAATAAAATGGGGAAGGATTCATCAAATATCCAGGATGTTCTTTCAAAATTAAAAAGAAAGAGATGTACCGTAAGCTAATAACAAGAACTGCTAATAAGAACTGTTACTGTTACTCTTTAGTCCTTTGAGTACTAATTTGTATATCCTGTTGCCAAGGCAAAGGTAATTATTGAATCTATCCTACATCTGAGTGATGGAGTAGTCAGAAATGACTCCATCTGACAGAGCCAGGAAGCAAGTGATGGATACTATTGTCCAGACGTGACCCTCCATTAACACTACCTATCAGCATCTGGATCCTGTCATTGGTCCCAGAGCCAAGAGGACTGCCTGGCATAGTCCAAGCACTTCCAAGGTTTCTAAGCTCTCTCAACCTTTCACCAAATGAATAGGTGAGGAGACTAACATAAACCCTGTTTGCTCCATCTCCACCTGCCTTACTGCCCCTCTCCAGACCCATTGTTTGGCAGGTGCTAGCAATTTACTCCTTATCTTGCCTGTTTATGAGGGATTTTTAAAATTATTAACAAAGGGAGAAGTGGTATTAATATTAATTAACACCATAAAATGAAACAGTTTTGGGATCTCACCCAGTGAATCCTCACAGTCTCTAATTGGAGCTTTGGAGAAAGGGGAGGAGGAGGAGAGGGGAAAGGGAGGGAGGGAAAATGTGTGTGTGGGGGAGATACAGATGACCTACTGGGTGACAGGCACAGGTTGGAAGGGTGACATTTTATTGTAAGCCTCCCAATGAAAGGAAGAAAAGGAAGGGACCAGTCAATTTAATGCAGGGACCAAGAGTGCAGGAGTGTTGCTAAGAGACAGAGATGCTGGTAAAGTTCTATCACAAGCCCTACTCTGACCTTATGCAAATAGAGGCGGCCAACTCTTTGTGGAACGGCTGAAAATTCCACCCCCTGTGTCACCAATACCTGGCATCGAGCCTTTCATTCAAATGTTCTCTAAAAACACACACACAGAGGATGTGACAAAGTGCTACACATCTAGGGTTTTTTTAACACACACACACACACACACACACCCCTCACAAGGATATGAGGAATAGTAATAGCACTAATAATTTTTAAATGGGAGGGAGCAGTCAATGGCAGATCTTCCTGAGGAATTGTCACCCACCCTTACCTTCTGTCACCGTCCTCTTCCTTTAGCTATAAAGTAATCTGAAGAGTCAGAAATTGCCCTCTCCTTGCAGAAATAGAAGCCTATTAAGATACTGAAGTAGTGCTCAGAGTATTGTCATAATTCACACCCCGAGGAGTGTGAGGAGGGAAGGTGTGAGGGTGGGTGGATAGGCTGAGGGTGCTTGGTGCAGAGCAATCACAGTTCATCTTGAACCCCCCAACCGAAAGAGATGTGGGGGGGACTTTCCATTTATCATTCATCTGCCCACTCTGTAGGAAAAAAACTTGGGGAAATTTGTCTCTTAGGGAGTTGAATATTCTTAGAGTTAACAGGGAAGGCCGACAGGACACATCCAGTGAGCTAGTGACTCTGGGAACCAGCCTTAGGGGGGATGGGGGTGGGTTGGGGGAGAGGTAGGTAGGTACCATTGAGGATTTATCAGTTCGGTTTGCCTTTGTTCAGAGTCCTCAAGCTGAGGGGCATGCTCTGCCACCTGGCCCTGGGTGCTAGAAGGTGAGCGATGAATTGGAGCTGGATGCTGTAACAGGCCTGACCCTCCGTGGAGCAGCCCTTTGAGAGTCAGAAGAGAGAATCCTGACTTGGGGCTGCAAGGTCTGGATTTCCCACTTTCTGCCGCACTTTCTTTCTTGTGTAGCCTCACTTCCATGGGTGTCTTCACTCTCTTTCACCCCGAGTTAACTATTGGTCTTCCCCTGGGTTGGAGTATAGGAAGCCATTCACCAGCCCAAAGGCAGCTCCTAAAAAGAACTGCCCTAGGGTACCAATCCAGAGAAGTTGCACATCACACAGAGAAATAGGTTATTTTTACAGTTCTTAGCTACCTTGGGAGCTATAGGCACGACTGCAGTTTTGGGGAACTTGAGGATCTTGGGGCTGGCTGGCAAGAAGAGACTCGGTAGGGCTTTCCTCAGCAGCTACCCACTTGCCCTTCCACAGCCCCAGGGACTACCGGGGCTGACTGATGGCGGCTAGAACCTGACCCAAACTGGAAAGCATCTTGCTCGGTCCCCACTCCTTTCCTACAAAGCAGGAGAACAGAATCATTTTCTCCAAGTGAGGGCAAAGCCCAGCGCACACAACTTGGGAAACTCAATTTAGTCAGCCTGCTTTATACATCTCACTTCCTCCCACTCTTTTGATTTCAATATTGATAACAAGCCCACCGCTGCGCGCATCTTTATGGTAATAGTTGCAAATGAGAACGGAACTCCCCCTCACCCCCACCCCTTCGACTAGGGAGCGTTTCAAGCAGTCAGTGGCAAGTAACTTCTCAAGATAACTTCTCCCTGAGATCCTCCCCCTCCCCTTTTAATGGTGGGACTTTTCATAATGTGCACAATACTATTAAAATTTCATATTAGCACTGTGTATGGTGAACTTTGTAATGGGAAATTCAATAGCTGCTGTAAATATTAATGGAATATGAAATGAAGCCACAGCCTCGACCAGCCCTGACAGTAAAACGGAGTGAGCATGTGGCGGCCCCGGGGCGAGAGAGGCCTTTCCTCTTGTCGCTCTCGCTTTATTACATTAGCGCTGGCCTCCCCACGCCGGCGTGGGCTCAGAAGCCGAGGCGCAAGGGTCACCCATGACAAATGTCCCCGTGTCTCGCCAACAGGCCCCGCCTGGCCCTGCCACTCCATCTGCTCAACAGGCCCCTAGAGAGTGCTCGCGGGTGTCAGTTTCGGGCACAGAGCTCTTGAGAGCGCCAGGCTTCCAAAAAGATTGCAGCGGTTCGGGTGCCTCCTCAAGTCACCGCTCCCTGGACCCGGAGAGGGGAAAACTCCAAGCGCGTGTGTTAACGAACTCCAAGTGGTATTCTGGGGTTGAAAGAGGTACTCTGAAAAGTCAGGCTCCCACTTTCATCTAGACTCCTAGCCCAGCATCCCCAAGCCCTACTGCAACCCCAGTCCTAGCCTGCAGGACCCAGCTCAGAATCCGCCTTAGGCTCTTTTTGCTGACAGCTGACAGCACCTCCAGGGTTTTCGAGCACTATTGGGGTCGTAAACTAACCCACGAGCGGCGGTTCACACCGCTCCCAGCCTAAACCATCCGGACAGTCTATTTGGAGCGTGTGCGAGCTATCAGAGTTTAGGCCTTGGAGCCGCCAGCGAAGCCTTTTCTTGGTCTGGAATCTTCCAGAAACCACTGGGGAATGTGCTGTGTAGACTGCGGGAGTCCCATCAGTTCTTCCAGCAGCGGAGGAGCAGATCCAGCCTTTTGGAAATCGGGGGGGGGGGGGTCCCTGCTGGGGAGGACTGCGCGCAGGCAAACGTGGCCATCAACACTTTGTGCTGCGAGTTATTTCTACCGGCTGGGAACGATCCAGAATTGAGTGGCAGGCTACGGGTCTGCGTGCTCGCAGTATTTATTTTGTATCGACAACACTTAGGAGACCTTAGTTTTTAGATGGGACATTAATCTCCACTTGTTAGGAGATCGGCTGTCATCATTGAGAAAGGTCTACCGAGCTCCGCCACCCGCTACCTGGATGGAAGGGACTTGCAAGGCGATATGCAACACGGAGGAGCAAAGTGGGGACATGGTGGTCCCTGCCTCCAGCTCAGGGCGGTAGGGAAGGCCCCTTTCATTTTTGCCTCTTAGAGGAGGGCGAAAGGGATGCTTTCTTATTGTAAAGAAGGGTTTTAAGGTTCTACGCTCGGCTCACAGGCGCAGCGTGCTCGCTGCTAAGTCCCGAGTCCTCCCATTTCACCGCCACTGACTGCAGAGTCAGTTGCTACCTCCTCCTTCTTACCACCGGCTTAGCTGGCGATACATTTCTCCTCCAACTACCCCCTCCCTCTTTAAATTGTTTTCTGCCCAGTTTCTCTTCACTCCCGGAATCAATCCAAAGCAGCGCTGTTGCTATTCTCTCATTTGGTCTCCCGGTACCCAAACATCAGGACCCAAAGGAAGGGAAATAAAAATGGGATTGAAACGCCCCAGGGGTTCCCAGGAAGAGATTGCTTCAACAAGCTAACCCTGTATTCCAGATCCCCGACGTTGTTTCAGGTATGGTTTGCTGGTCGTGAACCTTTGGCCAGTCTGTTCCTCCTCCTCAGCGAGCTGAGCCTTAGCACGTCTTTGGCACCACTAAATGCACGCTCCCCACCCCCCGCCAGGATCTTGCAACTTTTTCCGCCTTGCCCCTATAAAAGAGTTACACTTTCGAAGAAGACTTTAAAAAAAAAAAGACAAGAAATAGATATAGGTTTTGTAACCGT